CAACCTAGTATGACAGCCTGTTCTAATGCACACCCAAAACAAAATCAAGACTTTGTAAAAGAGCATAATAGGACCCCTTTAAGACATTTCATAAAAAACAATAGCAGTCTTGCATGGCTTCACTGACATCAAAGCAGCCTGTATTGTAAAATCAATCTTGAGAGAGATCAAAATATGAATGAGAGTATATGGAACTGGTTGAGAACATTGTCTTGTGATGCAAGAAGAAAAACATCCAATTGAACACTAGAAAGACAGAGCAGAAAGACATTTCTGAACGCAGGGATACATTTCCTCTTGTGTAATAACTGGTAGCAGTACAAGCCAAAATATGCATTTATGTACAGTACTGTAAAAAGTGTTTGAACCACAGTGAGAGCCATTATCTCCAAATGAAAAAGAAAGAAAGAAAAAAAAAACAGCACAGTAGCGAACCAGCCCAGAAATAGTCGACCTTCCAAAATTCCTCAAAGAGTGCAGCGATGACTCATCCAGGAAGTCACAAAAGACCCAATGACAACACTGAAGGAACTGCGGGCCTCTCCTTGCATCAATAAAAGTCATGACTTCACAATTCAAAAGACACTGGCCGACTATAGCATCCATGTAAGAATTACAAGACGAAAACCACTGCTAAGCCCCCAAAAACATTAATGCTAGTCTGAATTTTGCCTTCATGATCCTCACACCTTTTGGGAGAATTTTTTTGTGGATGGATGAGTCAAAAGTGGAACTGATTGGAAGTCAGGCGTCCCATTAGATCTGGCATTAACCAATTTTCGAACTCCACAAAAAGAACTTGATACGTACAGTCAAGCATGTTGGTGGCAGTGTGCTGCTGTGGGGATGCTTTGCTGCTTCAGCCGCCTGGGCAACTTGCAATAACTGAGGGAAACATGATTTCTGCTCTCTACCAGAAAATGTCCAGACAAGTTGATGTTCAAGTGCCATTGGATTATTCAGCAAGACAAGGACCCAAAGCAAAAGTAAGTAAACCCCTGAATGGGTCAAAGTTAAAGTCCTGACTTGAACCCTATTGAGATGCTGTGGCAGGACCTTAAACGTGCAATTCATGCTGGAGGTGTTTTTATTAATTACTTAATTTATCTTTTGCTTCAGTAAAAAACTAAAATAAAAACATAACCTGTATGGGTTTACTCAGGTTGCTTTTGTATGAAATTGACAGAAAACCAGAAGAAATCAAGAGGAGGGCAAATACATTTTCACAACACTGTACATTATATCTGCACTCTATGTAATGTTTCCACTAGAACTTCAAACATGACTGGGAGCATTGAAAATAAACAATAAAAACACATTAATGCATTTACACTTTTCTGTAGACGTTCCATTTTAGGCCCCAATCCAGTCATAGCCCAAGTAATTGATATGACAAACATTTTATTTGCAGGTTTTGTTTATTATTTGTTTATAATAATAGTATTGAAGAACATTTCCCTTATTTTGCTGTCAGGCCTTATACAATGAGAAACAAAAATATTACTGCATAAATGTCTTATTGCACATAACCACTTTAGTCAGTGAACAAAATGATACTGTATATATTATATATACATAAAAATATATAACTATTCATGCCTGACACAGCAATAAGTAAAAAAAAATATGGTGCCAGAATTAAATACAAGTACGAAATAAAGACTATAAGAAGTGTAACACGGCTGGCAACATGTTTTTACTGTGGACTGTTGCAAACCTTTTTTTGACACAATAGGATCTTTATCAAACAAAAACTTCAACTTCTGCCACTTCTGACTTTACAAGATTTTCCTCAAAAACTTGATGTAGCTTCTTCTCCAACAAGAGAAAAAGAAGAAAATATTATTATTATTTTTCAGTCAGGCCTTATACGGTGAGTTGAAGTACTGTACTACTCATACCTGACACAGCAAAATGTAGTAAAAAAAAAAAGTCACAAGAAGTTAATACAGGTACAAAATAGTAAAAAAAAAAAAAAATATATACTGTGGATTGCTGTAGAAAAAAGTCACAAGAAGTTAATACAGGTACAAAATAGTAAAAAAAAAAAAATCTATATACTGTGGATTGCTGTAGGACTGTTTGTTTTACACTGGACATGATGGGACTCCTATCAAATAAAAACTTCCACTTCTGCCACTTCTGTTTTTATAGGATTTTCCTCATAAACTTGGGAATCTTCCTGTAGATTATTTGCAAACAAGACACAAGCATTTATTTTCTTTTTCTGCTGTGTTTTTTGCTTTGATACTATCTTGAGTTTCCTAATTTGGCCCAGTTTCCGTCTGATTGTAGAGTCATGAACTTTGACTTTAGCTAAAGCAAGAGAAGCCTGCAGTTCTTTGGATGTTATTCCAGGTTTCCTTGTGACTTCTTGGATGATTTTATGTTGTGTCCGTGGTGAAATTTTTGTGGGTCGACCACTCCTGGGACGATTCATCACTGTCCCATGTGTTTTCCATTTGGAAATTATAGTTCTGACAGTGGATCGATGCAGTCCCATAATTTTAGAAACAGCTTTGTAACCCTTGCCAGACTTATAGTAAAAAATGATCTGTTCTTTTACATCTTCTGGAATTTCCTTTGATCGTGGCATTTTGCACTTGCTGAATCTTTGTGCTGATTGTAATGGATATAGATCAAAATCAGGTGCTGTAGAATCACTGTAGTTACCAACCGCTTCAGCGAGGCATCTGCAATAGTTAAAAAGAAGTTCTTTAAATTTGATCTCTCTGCTAGATCGGTTTTAAGTGATGTGACATGTGGCCAAGTATGGTGACCCATACTCGGAATTAGTGCTCTGCATTTACCCATCCAAAGTGCACACACACAGCAGTGAACACACACACACCGTGAACACACACCCGGAGCAGTGGGCAGCCATTTATGCTGCGGCGCCCGGGGAGCAGTTGGGGGTTCGGTGCCTTGCACAAGGGCACCTCAGTCGTGGTATTGAAGGTGGGAGAGAGCGCTGTACATTCACCCCCCAACAATCCCTGCCGGTACGAGACTCGAACCCACAACCTTTGGGTTATGAGTCCGACTCTCTAACCATTAGGCCACGTCTCCATAAAAAACACCCATTTAGGGACATTAAAAAGATTTAGCATGAACTATTTAGACAAATATAGATGGAAATGGAAATATAAATGGAATAATAAATGGAAATATAGTATAATCTTAACTACAGAACTAAAAAGATTTGAACAAATATTTAACTGATAGTTAATTTTTTGTATATTAATAATTAGTTTATAATAGTTAATATGTATAGTAATTTAATTACATATTATTTATTTAATACTGAATTAAATATGTAATAAAACATTTACACTACTAAAAGTTCGAGGTCAGTCAGATTTATTTGTTTTTGAAAGACATGTCTTATGTCCACCAAGGCTACATTTATGATAGGGGGAAAAAAAGTTTAAAACTGTAAAATTTTGAAATATTATTGCAATTTGAAATAACCGTTTAGTATATTTTATATATACATTTCTGTGATGGCAAAGCTGAATTTTCAGCAGCCATTACTTCGGTCTTCAGTGTCATATTCCTTCAGAAATCATTCTAAAATGCTGATTTGTTGCTCAAGAAATACCTATTTCTTATTCTTATAAGTACGGAAAAGCTGTGCTCCTTAATATTTTTGTGCAAACCGTGACACTTTTTCAGGATACTTTGATGAATAAAAAGTTCAAAAGAATAGTAGGCTATTTATTTGAAATACTTTAAATACATTAACTACTTTTAAATTGAACCTACTACTTAACGGTATCGTAAAACACGAACAAATCTTTCTTAATATAGTCAACCTTAGTCAAAAGAGGTGCCAAAACATATGAAATATGAACACGCGTCTACAATCTGTTTAGCAACAGCATGTAAGTGAAAAGGGACGACTGTGACCTAATAAAACAAAACGAGTGAAAGGGAAACGTCAAAGAAAGACAAGACAAACAGTAAACACAGACCCTTCCAATCCTTTAACATTACGCATAAAACCTTTCAAAAATTATATGAATCTAAATTATAAGAAGATGCATATCCACTGAAGGGGTGGATTCTTTTCGCAAAATCACATAAGAGAGCTGATTTGACAATGATCAAAATAACTCGACATCTCTACGAGATAATTATAATGAGCTTTCAGATCAGAGACTCAGAATTATTCCAAAACATGGCAAATGTGTCATAATGCTAAACCTAGATATTTATAACAAATAAATACATTACATATAAATCTGAGGTTGAGCAACATCAGCTTTCTAAAATCATTCTGTGAACCAGCCTCTGAGAGAATGGATAATCTGTACGTAAATTATGTTTTATTTGATATTTTATTCAAAAAAAAGTTTTTAACACGTCGAAAGTAATTTCACAAAATGCACAGTGCAATAAATTCTTAAAATGTTGTAGCATACATATAAAATAAAATTGTCCATTTCTGAAGATTTCTATAACATTGCTGTTCAGAACACTTCTAAACTCCTAAATGTTGTGTCTACTTTCTTTTTGGACAAATAAATTCAAACAGCCATTCGATTTGTTGGGATTCTCCTTTTACCTATTTAACCAAAGTAAATTCTCCACAGCCGGCTGGCTGAATCCTAAAGGCACCTTGAATTAAGTCATTCAATTGGGTGTCAGTAGTCCCACCTTTTTCATCTGAAATGACAAACACTGATGATACATGTTTGCGTTTTCATCTGCCAAATAGATGCCACCATGCCAATGCTTTACCACAGCCTGCATAAATGAATCACAGACAAAATGATCTCTCAAAATATCATCTTTATGCCATGATACATGCCTTCAGCAAAACAAATACTTAAGACTGAGAGGTGTTTGGCAAGGGACAATAATCTGAAGGCTTCCACAAGAAATAAATGAGCATAGCTGTGCAGAAGGCTACAAACAGAGTCGATTTGACATAATTCTTGGTGCATGCCTTGTTTTTCTTCCCTCGCTGATGATATACAATCTGATTTCATCTTAAAATTATATCTCTGTCATTGGTGCAATAAATTAAATAAAAATATTCATATAGAGCATTTAACAATTACAGTCTGTCTAAAAATTTTCCACACGAGGACTTTTTGTAAGATTAAGCAAAAGAACACGTGAAGAAAATTATTAAACTTACACTACAATTTTCCATAAAAGAGGATTTTGGCAAATAATTATGTTTCTGTAAAAAAAAAAACACATAGTGAAATTATTTATTAACATGTGATACAGAGATTACACACTTAAAAGACTTCTGCCAAAACACAATAGAAAGAGACAAGCCAGTCACTATGTACAGGACAGTTTCTCAAACTGGTGATGAGCTTGATCCCAAAACATTAGTTCTGATACTCAAAAAAAGATTCGGAAAGAGTCTGTACACGCCCATTATATGAACCATTCTTTCTTGCTTTCGTCGATGGTCTCTGTGAAATTGGGCTCGGTGCCGATAATGGCCGCATCGGCTGACTCTGACGACTCTCCCCCCTTGGCCTCGTTGGTGTGGTAGGTGCCTTTATGGCGGAACATGTACCGGATCAGAAACACCAGCGTGCACAGAATAGTGAAGATCACCACTGCTATGATACCTGCAAGGAAAATACATTCACGACTGTTAAAGGAATAGTTTTAAAGGAAAATTAGCTGAAAATGTACTCACCCTACAGCCATCCAAGATGTAGATGAGTTTGTTTCTGCATCGGAACAGATTCAGGGAAATTTAACATTGCATCACTTGCTCAGCAATGGATCCTCGGCAGTGAATGGGTGCCGTCAGAATGAGAGTCCAAACAACTGATATAAACATCACAATAATTTACAAATAATCCATACAACTCCAGTCCATCAATTAACATCTAGTGAAGAGAAAAGTTGCATGTTTGTAATAAAAAAAATCCATCATTAAGACCTTTTTAATTAAAAATTTTTTAATGTCCCCTTGTTGTCCCGTCACATCAAAATCCACCGACATATTTTGTTTATAACTGTTTTTGCTTGTAAACAGTGCATCTGTGCATATTTCTCTCCTAATTCAGACGAGATGCCTTTTTCACTGGAGAAATCAATATGGATAGAAGACTCGGAAGCAATCTGGAAGCAAAGGTTTAAAGTTAAAAAGGTTTCAGTGATGGATTTGTTTCATTGCAAACAGCTTTTCACTTCATAAGATGTTAACTGATGGGTTGGAGACATGTGGATTACTAGTGGATTATTGTGATGTTTTTATCAGCTGTTTGGACTCTCATTCTGACGGCACCCATTCACTGCAGAGGATCCATTGTTGAGCAAGTGATGTACTGCTAAATTTCCCCAAATCTGTTCCGATGAAAAAACAAACTACATCTTGGATGGCCTGAGGATGAGTTAATTTTCATTTTTGAAATAAATACTCCTTTAATGCCTAAAAGAATAGATAACTTAAAATAAGTAATTTTTCATCTGAATTAGATATGAATATGTTTCCATCTCACCCCCTATTATAGCTGAATTCCTATTTACTCCATCCGGTATCACTCTTTCCTCATTGAAGGGGAAATCAGCACCTGTAGGAGATCATAATAATTATAATAATTAAATGTCTATATAGTTTTAGTTAACTATAATAACCTTGATAGTCTGAAAACGAATACATGTGAAAACACTGAACAGTCTGATATGTCTGAGAAGAGAATGAATCATTTTCTCTTTGCCAAATGAACTACTGTGACGAAACATAATTCTTTATAACATGTTTTTCAGATACACAAACATATATTGGTTTAATCTGATGCACTAATGCACTTATAGCTGAGCAAAGCATATTTGTGTTTACAGAAGCCATTGTGTCCACTAACTGGCCATTGACCTTTTTAGAATGGCAGGACACAGTAAAGGAAGGCCTGTTTATGTTGTTATGGTTAGTCGAATCTAAAATGTGCTACTGCTGCATTGAATTTTTGCTCTGTATCGGTTTTTCACATTTAAATCAGACTGAAAGCAATACAATGAAATGTGGCATTTAAGACGCACATTTAGGAGGGTTTCTATAAAGAGGTTTACAGCAGGCAGATCCCGTCGGTCAGGTCAATGCAATGCAATGATGCAATCAATAACCTAGCATTGGAAATTGAATGTCTTTTACACCACTCCTGGAAAATAATGCAGGACTGAGAGATTTCAGTGCATTTCTGGGACTTCAAGACCTCTTTTGTTAGTATTTGGCTTGTTTAAATGTGCTCACCTGCGTCTAGGTGCCATGGGTCGGTTGCAGCAGACATGGGGGGGATTGTGAGGGGTGATGCTCCACAGTTGGATTCCACCAGTTTACCCTGGTGTGAGACGGGTGCAGAACCACGGGACCTGAGAGCGGCTTTCAGAGGAGCAATGCTGTTGAACTGCACTCTGGACAGGCAACCCACAAACCCGGGTGTGTTGTATTTTTCTATAAGCACCGGATCGATGTAACCGGTTTCTGCAAGAAGAGGAGATACAGATAGGCATCTAAAGTTAGACTAAGAACAAGAGAATAATCAGCATCTAAATGTTTGAAAAGTCAGAAAGCCTGAAATACAAGATAACTGCAGAAAACTGATCCAAGCCTTGTTCCAGGAAATGTATTCCATTTCACTGCAATAAAAGGATAAGATCAATGCGTGTTCATGTATAATGTACATACATCAGATCTGCATTACAATGTCATCCTAAAATAAAACCTTAACCTTAATAACTGAATCTGAACAAAGAATGTATCATTTCCACTTGAATTACAAACATATTGATTATAAATTACTCTCTTCATGTATGCCATTCCCATTCAATGGTTTTCACATTTTAAATGTAAACCATTTATTTGTTGCTACACTGAATATTTAAAGGCACAGTTCACTTAAAAAAAATTACTCACTGTCATTTGTTGCAAACCTGAATGACTTTATTTCAGATCATTTTAATGTATAATTTGATCTAGATCACAGAATGATTTGTTCATGAATTAGATGGAAATTGTAAACACACTGATGATAGACGCATAGAAATTCATAGCTCACTGGCTTATCAATGATTAATGACTTATATTTTGGTTTGATCCTAAAATAAAACAAAATATAAATATTAGATGAAAAACTTGACAAGAAATAAAAAAATGACAAAATCACATAACAAAATTGGTCAAATGTGAACTAAAACTAAAATGAAAACTGAAAAAAAAAAATATATAATATATAATATATAAAATATACAGGTGCATCTCAATAAATTAGAATGTCGTGGAAAAGTTCATTTATTTCAGTAATTCAACTCAAATTGTGAAACTCGTGTATTAAATAAATTCAATGCAAACAGACTGAAGTACACTCTAAAAAATGCTGGGTTGTTTCAACCCAATGTTGGGTCAAATATGAACTAACCCAACTGTTGGGTTAAATTTTGGTTACATTTTTGCACCCTAAATCATCACAGACTGTGGAAAATTAACACTAGACTTCAAGCAAATTTGGGCTATGAGCTTCTCCACCCTTCCTCCAGACTCTAGGACCTTGGTTTCCAAATGAAATGCAAAATTTGCTCTCATCTGAAAAGAGGACTTTGGACCACTGGGCAACAGTCCAGTTCTTCTTCTCCTTAGCCTTGTTAAATGTGAGCCAAAATCATCACAATTAAGAGAACCAAAGACTTAAACTACTTCAGTCTGTGTGCATTGAATTTATTTAATACACGAGTTTCACAATTTGAGTTGAATTACTGAAATAACAGTAATTAATAACAGTAATACTGAAATAACTTTTCCATGACTTTCTAATTTATTGAGATGCACCTGCATATATATAACAGCATATAAATAAAACTAACACTGACTTGTTCCCCACATAAGGCCCTTATATGACTTCAGAAGGCTCATAATATGTCTTATGTGCCACTTTCATGATATTTTAATTATGCTTTGTGCCCTTTTTGACAAGAGCGACTAGAACATTCTTCAAAACGTCTTTTATGCTCTACAGAAGAAAGTCATACGGATTTGGAACAACATGTGTGTAAGGTGTAAATAACGACAGACTGAAATAACTGATTGCTGCTCAATAGTCCAAACCGATCTTTATACTCTATGCTATTTAAATCCAAACAGCAGAGTAATCCTGACATAAGATTAAAACCCAGTCCTCAGACATTTTCATAAAACACTTTATATTACACTTCTATTCTTTTCTCTCCCACTCTTTCTTGTCTTCAGGCACACTGACATATCCTGGTACCTTCACAGTTCAGCAGAGATTTTCCTACTGAACACCCTCCACCGAACACAGACAAAAGAGTCAGTCTAACTGCTGCACATTACAAACAAATCCTCTTCAAACCTGTGTTTGTGAAGCCTCTTCAAAGCAGTTGTGGTGCGCAGCTAAATTCAGCATTCTCTCACCACAGCCAGGGATAAAGTACATCCTGTCTCAACGGTAAAAGACCGTACATGAAAAACACACAATGAGAACAATGGATAACAAAAGCAAAGCAAGCTGTCTGTGTTGTGCATCAAGAGCACCTCATAGGGACAATGATTTTTTGATTCACAGTATCACAGTAAAACAGTTTTTGGCAGTGGTGGTATGCGAGAGATGACAATATGTCAGAGATTCAAGGTTGTGAAGCATTCATAAGTAAATTGAAAATGCCTTTTGAATTGCAATTCAACTCCTGAAACTTATTTGCACCAATAAACAAGATGAAAAATGATGTGTAATTTTTATGAATTTATATATGTATGTGTGTGAATAGTATAGCAAATATTATTGTTCAAAAGTTTGGGCTTGGTCATTTTTTTTTTTTTTTTTTTTAAATGTCTATAATGTTCACCAAGGCTGCATTTATTTGATCAAACATACAGCAAAGACTGGATTTTTGCTGTATAAAAAAATGAAACAATATTATTACAATTTAAAATAACTGTTTGTTTTAAATATATACAAATATAAATATGTTGATTTTGTGGTCAAGAAACATTTTTTTAAAATTAATTTAATTTTTAAAAAAAGTTGTGCTGCTTAACATTTTTGTGGAAACCATCCTACATTTTTTTTTAGGATTCTTTGTTGAATAGAAGAATTCAAATGCAACAAAATGAATCCTTGTTAAATAAAAGAAAACAAATCATTCTTTAAACTTATTGATAATACTGATAATTAAAAAAAAAAATGTTTGTAATATTTTGCAGGGTACAAGAAATCTAAGAACTTCTACGCTCATGTGTTGCACTAATGAACGTCAACAAACATTCGCTAAATTCAGAAATTATGGGCCAAAACACAAAAATATTCCAAATGCTAGGTCTCGCAAGGCTAAAATGGGATTCCCCCCCATTCAGCAAAAAGAAATGGTCTCCCCACACAACTAAAGTCAACCTCGCAGCTCAATGCTCAGCAGAAAGCGAAGAAATGTGATAACATCTTCATGAATACTAGTCTCCATATCAGATTCTTGCAGGCACAGGGCAGACAGAACACTTGTTCACTTTCAGCAAGACACCTATTAATACCAATACACAAAATCTGATCTGCTTGAATTTCGGTTTCAGTGATCTGTTTTTCAATTTGAAGTGACTGGGGTAAAAAGAAACAGAGCTGTAGTGACATTACATCTCTGATGTGAATGATCTCATTAAATTCTGTTATTGCCTTTGCTTTAAATTACTAGAATATGAAATTAGAGAGAGTAATTTGAGTGTCTCTCACCACTCGTATGAAAAATGACATCAAAGCATAGCAAATTAAACGATTATCATTCTTGTCACATTCAGATCCACAATCTACTTTCTAGTGCAAATATTTTCTGTGATTTAAAAGAACATAGCTACAGCAGAACCCCTGACTGGAAAACGCATAAAACCTTTGACGTTCAGATTCATGTTTGTTGTATGAAATATAACACATTCTGCTGTGTACTGGTTCCTCAGAGGCGTGAAACGTGGCTGGAATATTTATGAGAATTGACTGATTGTTGCTGCTGCAAATTCAGGTGGAAAGCTCTGGAGATTTCCCTCTCGCTTTTCATGATGCTCTGATTATTAGACATGCTGCAGTATTTGCACTTACATTACCCCTTGTTTTGTGCAAACTGGACTTTCATTATATGGTTTTTACCCCCTTGATGAAATGTTTTATACCACAAGCAGATGGCTCAAATTAGCCACAGTTTTGCTTTTCTCCAGCTGATGTTAACAGGGAGGAGGGAGCACTGCAGTTTCTTTGTTCCTCAATGCTGCAAACTTTACCTTGAGTCATAGTTACGGGAACAAACATTGGTTTTCTCAATTCAGACTAAATGTTCATCTTGGCCTGCTGTCGTTTATCTCTCTGTGACTGACTGATAAATAAAAGCAGACGATTGCAGCTGTGTGTCTGTCCTGTTGATCTTGGAGGGCATATGGTGCTTTTAGTGTGGTGCAGAGCAATACGATTCAGGCTAATTAGATTCAAGGTCAAAATCTGGCTGATAAGAAAGAAGGGTGGATGGTGTGACCTGAAAGTGGTGGCATCTCCCCCCACCCAGCATTATTTCAGTGCAGTGAATGATAAAATAAGGCATCCAGAGCTCAAAATAATATATTTTTTTGCACATTTTTAAATATATTTAAAAATATATTTGAAAAAAAAAAAAAAAAAAAAAAAAAAAAAAAATATATATATATAT